TATTCGTTGAGTAGAATTATTAAATGTATCATTGTCATCATCATCAGATGAACATTCTTGAACTTGTAATTGACGAGAAGATACTTTAAAATCATTGACTAAAATTATTTAAGACAATGTCTAGTTTTTTTTTCTTTTTATGTTTAAAATTATTTACCTGTTGAAGATTGTATTGGACGAAAACGTTTTGGTAAATTACGATTATCATTAATTGTTGAATTACTAGACGAACAATCATATTCACTTGATATAGAACGTTTTTTTCGATGATTTGTAGATGTTGATGATGTTATTGAATTTGTTGTTGATGAATTATTACATAAATTTTCATAATAATTACGTATAAGAGTATTGCTATTGGATACTATGGAAGCAGCAGTTGTCATTGTTGTTGATCGTTGTTCATTTGTAGGTAAAGATGAAGATATAGTTGGTGTAAATTTATCAAGAAGAGTTTTATAACGTGGTAATGTTGTTGTTACCGTAGACGATGAAGTTGAAGAAGAAGGTGAATCTAAAAAATAATTTATTTAAAAACAAAACAAAAACAAAATGAAAAGAAACGTTTACCACTGTATGTGTGCGTAGTAACCGTATACGGTGTTGGTGGTCGACCATTTCTTGATAGATCATTATTATTATGCGTAGTTCCATTAGTAAGAAAATCATTTAATGTTGTAGGATTAACATTTTGTTGATGATGCATAAGTAGGGCAGCGGCTGCAGCAGCTGGTTCGACAGCAAGAAATTCGGCAAATGCAGCATTCATTGCTGATGCTACTTCTTCAGGACTAACAATCGACGACTGATGTTGTTGTACGGCACTCATACGTCGATATAAATATATATATATATATATGCGCACGTATTGCCTTTTAGTTTGTTTGTTTGTTTTTTGTTTTAAGGAAAAAAAAACAAGCAAAAAACTAATCTAAAATTTTTTAAAGTAGTAATAAAATAATATTTTTTTTTAACAATTTTTTTTTCTTGTCTTGTTTATTACATATAGAAATAGATGACGAACGATTCACTCAATCTTTAGCCTTGTTGCTCGATTTTCTCGTCCAGCACAAAATAAAGCGACAACGTTCGCTGGCTTGGTTGCTTGCCCCCGTTACTATTACTGCTTCTTCTTTCTTTTTTTTTCTTCTTTTTTTTTCTCCTTATGTTCTTTCACTAGACGCCTATTGCTCGGAGAAAGAGAGACAGAATGTAGAGAGCACAAGCGCGCGCGAGCGCGTGCATGCTCGCCCTCGCGCTCGCGATAACAAATGTTTTTCTTCGATGTTCTATGCGTCTGCATGTGTATGTTGTTCATCTCTAAAATCTATTTCTCGCCCGTCGTTGTATCCGCATTCTTTCTTTCCATCTCTGTCTTTCTTGTATACACATACGGTCGAGAACAATTTTGACAAAAAACGCAGAGAAAGAATGAGAATAAGAAAGAAAAAAAGAAGCCATATGGTGCCGAGACCCACTTTTTTTTTTCTACTGAATAGGTACGAACGCTCCATTCACCTCAAAAGAGAGCGCACGATAGATAGAAAGATGAACATATTATCATTATTTGACTATTTTGTTTGATCTCTATGAAGAATATACTTGTTCTAGTATGGAATAGGAAAAAAGAAGAAAAAGAAAGAAAGAAAAAAAACGTCAAGTTCTATATAGAAAGAGTCTATGTTGATCAACAAATGCAATGATGACGACAATGCAAGTGCAGAAAAACGATCAATGTACCAATATATAAATATATATACATATATAGCACAAAGAATGTAAAGAAGAGACAAGGCAAGAAAAACGAGGGGGGATAAACGACGGCCGAGGAGAACAACCTTTTTTCAACACACACACACACATTCGGCTCGAGCACGCATAGCCATGAATGTCGAATGCGCCGCAAGCAGAGACGACGACCGTCGAGTATATTCATGAATGATGAAGGGAACGAAGATGTATGTATGTGTGTGTGTGTGTGTGTGTTTGTGACAAGGAGAGAAGAAGAGAAAAAAACGAGAGCAAAAGACGCACAATGAAGATTTTGGAGGCGTGTACACCGTGATAGAATCACATACGTCAATATATATATTTCTCATTACGTTTTTTTTCCAGACAAATTTTGTTGTCGATTTAAAAATGAAAAACATTAGAGAAAAAGAAAACGATCATAAAAAATAAATTTCTTTTTTTTTCCTTTGTTTTCGTTTCTATAAACGAGATTAGAAAATATAACACAAACAAAAAAACGTAGAATAATTAAATTCATAGAAATTTTTATACTAGTTCTATGGATCAAATATAATTAATTTTTTCGTCGTTGTTGTTGTGGTTGGTCAAGATTTTCTTGATATTGTTGAATTATTTTATTTGATACATCTGGTCGTACTGGACAATAACGAACATATTCCATAGAAAATTCACCTTTGCCTTGTGTATGCGACCGAATATCAGTAGAAAAACCAAACATATCGTTAAGGGGAATCTTTAAAAAGATAAAATTAAAAAAAAAAATTTTTTTTTTTTTTAAAACAAATAAAATTTACTTCAGCCAACATAGTAAACCAATCTTCACGTGGTTCAATACCGGATACAATACCAAAACGTTTAATAACTAATGAATGTACAGCACTTTGAAATTCACTTGGTGCATTTATTTCAACTAGCATAACAGGTTCAATTATTTGCCATTGACCATATTCTTGTGCTACAACAAATAAATTTAATAATATTTTAGATAAACTGCTTATGAAAGTTTACTTTGTCGTATAGCTCCTTCAGCAGCTAACATGAAAGCAAGTTCATTCGAATCAACAATATGATTGTCACCTAAATATAAATTATTGAATATTATTTTAAAATAAATTTGGTTATAAATACCATCTTGTAAACGAAATTTAACACCACTAATTTTATTTCCACTAAGAGAACCTTTTTCATAAGCTCGAATTAAACCCTATCATCAAAAACAAAACTAGTAAATTTTCTATATTGATTAGTAAGAGATTAACTTTTTTAATTGCTGGTATAAATTGTGATGGTACATTTGTGCCAGATGTTTCATCCGAAAATTCTATTAAAGAAAAAAAATGTTTTTTTTTTTTTTTTTTTTTATTACAAATTTCATATATATCTATAAATACATACCAACAGTAGCAAATTTATCTGGCGATAAAGGCTAAAAAGAAAATTTTATAATCAATTAGTAATGATGTTTTATTAAATTTACTTCAAGAATTCCAATTACTCGACCATATTGACCAGCACCACCAGATTGTTTCTTATGAAGATAATCGAATCTTTAACGAAGAAATGCATGTTAATCAATGAATAATATTATTTCCATTCTTCTTACTTAATAGGACTAACAAGTGATTCTCGGAATGAAACTTTCGGTTTACCCATTTCAATTTTGACACCATATTCTCGTTGAATACGCTAAAAGCAAATAACAGCTTTCATTATTTTTTTTTATTATCATTAAAAAGCAAATCTTATACTTGTGCATAAATATCAAGTTGTAATTCTCCCATACCCATAGCTATTGATTCTTTATTATCTTCATCATAAACAATACGAAAGGTTGGATCTTCACGAGTAAATCTTTAATAAAATAAATTCTTAGAATTTGTTCTTGTTGTTATTTAAGAAAAAACTCACCTTGCAAGAGCTGCAGCAAATTTCTCGACATCAGTACTTGATGAACATTTTATTGACATTGAAATAACTGGATCAGGAACAAAAATCGATTCCTAAATACAACAAATATTAATTTACTATATACTGTATTTGCATCCGGATGCTTAGTGTTGGTATAAATCCAAGGACTGTAGTCGTCCGAAAAATATGTACAATGCGCTAGTCACCGAACTCCAAATTCGGAAAGGGGTATCTTAATATCCTTGGAATAAATCACCAACGCCGATTAGAAAAGTTCTTTGAGAATGTCAAAATGCAGTCTGAATCTGGTTTTCAAAAATGTTTAATAAACAAGGTCTGATTACACTAGTATCCATGTTCATTGAAGCACTGGCTACGCCGATATTTGCGTTCGTTGCAATATAGAGACACCAACTTTATCAACGTATGTCCGTCGTATAGCAGTGTGTTCTCTACTGATTTAGTGAACACTGACGAATGAATATTTTAAAATGATCCATTACATTTGAATTCGAAGTCTATGTATAAGATAGACTTGAATGAGATATGAAAAATCTCAAAAAGATATGTTCTCTTAGGCCTTTTGTCCAAACTTATAAGTATTTGACTATATTTTTACTTTTTGCCATGTTCTATACCCACAAATTGAATGAAAATATTACGATCTTAAGGTTTTTAACGCAAACAGATCGATTTATTAGTAAAATGTCTTGAAAATTTCAGTTCAAAAAGATGTTTTCTTCTCGAAATATTAAAGTCTCAAACAAAACAGATTATTCTAACATCTTTCACGAAATATGAATGATTCTTGAGACTTTAATATCTCAGGTTATAATATGGTCATTCGATTTGTTGACATATATCATGCCAGATGTTTAAATTCTGCTATAATGTCTATAACTCTGAACGAAAGACCTAAGGAGACGTATTCTTTTGAGATTTTTCATATCTCATTGAACTTTACTTTATGTACAGTTCATATATTTATGATTCATAATATTTACCATACTAATTTGATATGCTTTATCATTAACAAACGTATCACCAGTAGCACAATCAAGACCATAAAATGCACAAATATCTCCAGCATAAGCTTCATCAACTTCCTAGAAGAATTACAAGACTAATTTGTTGTACAAAAAAAAAAAGTGAATTCTGATTTTACTTCAGCTTTGTTCGAATGCATACGAACAAGTTTTGATACTCGTGTTCTTTTTAATGTACGCATATTATAAAGTGTATCACCACGTTTAACACCACCTTGATAAACACGTACATATGTTAATTGTGTTGCACTTGTATTTCGACCACCAGCCTAAAATTCGCAATTGTAATTAAAAACAAATATTCCCTATTGAAATGGTTCTATGATAGTAAGATAGAAAAACTATCTTCTTAAATGTATAATTACTTCAATTTTAAATGCAAAACCAACAAATGGTGCAGCAAATGAACGTGTTGGATCAAGTTTAATTGTCTTTTTTTCTTTTCTAATAAATAATTTACACAAATAAAAAAAGAGAACTTTATGTTAGGCAATTTTATTGCTTTTTCTTTTACCCTAATTCATCAAGTGCAATGTTTTCAACTTCAGCTGGATTAGGTAAATAACGATTAACAGAATCGAGTAATGGTTGTACACCTTTATTTTTTAAAGCTGATCCAACAAATATTGGATTAAATTTACGACTTATTACACAACGACGAATAGCATCCTTTTTTAAAGAAATATCAAATAGTAAATATCTTATAAAACAATTCTTACACACATGAATTTGCTGTTCATTAGGAGTTTCTTCATTAAGAAACATTTCACCAAGTTCATCATCAACACCTGATATGGTTTCTAGAAAAAATAAAATTTGGATTTCTTTTTTTGAAAATCTGTTTTCTTTTTGTCTTCTTAATGAATGTATACCAATTAAATCTCGTCGTCTATTTTCAGTTTCTTGTTTATATTGTTCAGGAATTTCTTCTACAGATACTTCGTCTCTAAATATATATATTTATATATATTATTATTCATATTATTAAAGATAAAATTTTACCCATGTGGACCATTAAAATAAATAGCTTTTCGTTCAATAAGATCTATTATTCCTTTGAAATTTCCTTCTAGACCAATAGGAATTTGTACAAAAGCAGCATTATGACCAAGTTTTGATCTAATTTCAAAAGCAAAGAAAAAATATTAAAATTAAAATAGAAGAAAAAAAAAGTTTTTACTTTAGTTGATCCATTGCTCGACTAGGATTAGCATTCATACGATCAAGTTTATTAATAAAAGTGAGAAATGGTACACGATATCGATTAAGTTGTCTATTCACTGTTATTGTTTGTGATTGTACACCACCGACACTACATACAACAAGAATAGCACCATCGAGTACACGTAAAGAACGTTCAACTTCAACTGTAAAATCGACATGCCCTGAACAAAAATTGAGCAACAGATAAGAAGTTTATTTTTCAAGTTAAATAATATTTTTTTTATACCAGGTGTATCAATAATATTAATATTATAACCTTTCCATTCAACATAGGTTGCAGCAGATTGAATAGTTATACCACGTTCACGTTCAAGTTCCATAGAATCCATTGTTGCACCTACTGCATCTTTGCCTTTCACCTAAAGTAAAAAAAAACTATGGATTTTCATTTATCGAAATAATTCTAACATACTTCATGCATTGCTTGAATACGTCCAGAATAGAAAAGAACACGTTCGGATAAAGTTGTCTAAATAAACGTAATGATATTAGACAGTAGCATAAAATGAAAAATTCATACTTTGCCTGAATCTATATGTGCTGAAATACCAATATTTCGGATTTTTTCTAATGGATAATGTTTCTATAATTATGGAAAAGAATAAAATGAAGAAATAATTTTAAACAATCGAAAATCATATTTACGGATTCTCGTTTGACAGCAAAAGTTCGGAAAGGTATCCAACGGTACTAAAATAAAAGATTTATTTCAGTTTTAGTTTACAATACTAAAAGATTTCTACCTGTTTGAGAAGATGAGAAAATAATCGAGGTGTCATTGTTGCTGACTTCGGCCGAAACGGTTCTTTTTTTTCTTAAAAAAGGAAAGAAAATCTATCAATTTCAAATCAAAAGCGAAGTCCAAATTAGTTAGAAAAAGGGTACACTTCATCGCATCCAAAGATAAGTAGTCTACAGCCTCCTCAAATAAATTATATCAATAATAGATGCCGCCATTCGTTATCGCAGGAACTATTAGATGGCCTCAGGTTTTTATATATTTTATAAAGATATTCAACTTTAAAATTTTTCACAAAAGACAATCAATCATGATTTTTCATTTTCTGATATCGAATAGAAACGACAAAGTTTAAAATAAATATAAAATAATATAAGTGTATTCTCTTCAAATAATATTCAACTTGAAAATGAAACAACACGAACAAATCGAATAGAACTTCACCTTCACGACATTGTGTAGAGTATACATTTATAAATCTTTTTTTTTGGGGGGAAAATCAAAGTTCATGTAAGAATTGCAAAACTGCAAGACGAATATATAACATTTGACAGTTATGATTTTTATCTGCACATGATTCAATATTTAAAAAAAATATTGATCTCTCAGAAGTTAATGGCAGATTTATGTCATATAACTTCTTCTTTCCAAATGAGATGGCCCTTTCTTATCGGATTAAATTGTATGCATTTTCATCTTTACACAGGAATAGACAAGTGAACCTCGTCAACTAATAACCTCTATTTAAGTTCATGCTTAGTTCATAAATACAACTCCTAGTTTACGTGAAAATCCTAAAAGAAGGGTTTGTGCTCTTAGAGACCTTTCTTGTCGAGTAATAGTCGGATGCAGGTGTCGATGCATGTAGATGGACAACAATGTTTCCTTCATTTGCACCCATCCACATTCATGAAAATAGAAGAACAAGAAGAAGAAAAAGTTTCAGACATCAGACAAGAAAATGAAATGTGAGACAGTGTATGAAATAATATTACAATGAATTTCTTTTCTTTTTTATTCTCTCATTTTCTTTTGACGATACAGATAACAACAGATAAAAGAAAGGAAGATGAAACACCTAAGTGACATGAAACTAAACAGAACTACAATGACGGCAATAGTCGCAAAAATAAATAGAAGCATCTAGAAACAATTTCAACATAATAAATAAACTCAAGTCATTTCATTTAATTTTTCTATTAATAAAAAAAACAACATACACCATGGACAAAAAGAGATAGTCGACAACAAGAACTGATGCTGCTGCTACTGCCACGGCAAATATTGAACATATGAGAAGTCTACTACAGCCTTCTTATGCTCGTATGTTTAGAATTTCATTCTGGTGTGACCCGATGCGAATATTGATGAGATGCTCAACACTGATTGTATTAATACCATCAGTAAATTACGCGAAATAGTGGACAAGATATATTCATTCACTAATGTGAATGAATGTATCAGTTTTATAACGGATCTGCAAGAAGAAAAAATATTTATGATCTGTTTCAATACCTTCGAGCAAACAACTCTTCTCATAATCCATGATATTTCCCAAATTAATATTATCTATATTTTCAATAAGAGCCAACCCTGATATGAAGGTTTGGCCAAACAATGGTCGAAAATAAAAGGAGTCTTTATAGATATTGCTCTTAACTGTCAAGCCCTTTAACAAGAGGTAAAATAATGTGATCGAAACATGATTTCGATCAGTTTTGTTACAACCAGTAATGAGGACAGCAAGTCAAACCTCAATCAATTGGAACCGTTGTTTATGTACACTAAAATAATGAAAGAAATTTTGTTAATCATCGATTTCAAACAACAACATATCGATGAATTTAGTATTTATTGTCGTCAATTATTCGCAAGTAATCCGAAGTAGCTGCAATATATCGATAGGTTCAGACACGAATATCGCAAACATGTTCCGATATGTGGTGTACGTACTAGTGTTTTCTTTATCCAATACTGGCTCGATTATTACGCATGCAATAAGTGGATCTCATTATGAGAATGGGATTTTTCATTTGGGATCTCCACAATCACATCTCTGAGCTTCATACTCAACAGTTTGTTAATTATTCATCCTTTAACTCATTTACTGTTCCTCGTGTCAAGTACTGTCAAAAGCCGACTTTGATCAATTAGTCAAAACAAAAGGTGTACTCTTATCATTCAATAATTTTCTATCGATTAGTGAGGACTCTCAAGCATCAATCAGATTTGCTCGTAAAACTGTTGAAACATCTGACCTTGTTGACATCGTATTCGTCATCAAAATGAATCCTTCCATCGCATCAACATCATTGGCTGACATTCGTTATGTCAGGCATTTCAAAAGAGAAAAAGAAACTCTGTTTCTATGCATTCTATCTTTCATATTGGACCGATGAAACAAATCGATGGAAACATTGTTCTTTATCAAGTTAATTTAACATTGACGACTGACATCAACCCAGATCTTCATGCACTTAGTGAACGAATACATGCAGAGACGAGTCTTGATCCGCAAGGATGGGATCGTTCGGGTTTGATGCTCATCAGTCTTGGAAAGTTCAACAAAGTCCAAGAGTTACACGATATCCTACTAGATAAAAAAAAAAAGATTACTCTGGAAAAAGCTGCTGTTTATTATAAGCTCGGACACATAAAGCTAGACCAAAATGAATATGCAGATGCCATTGTCTATTATCAACAATACATTGAAATCAAACATATGGTTGTTTCACCGACAGATGCCCACTTCGCTACTTCTAAGAACAACATAGATTCAGTGTATTTCAAAATGGATGATTTTTTGAATGAACTTTCATTTCATCAACAAGCAGTGGAAATACATTTAAAAAAAACTCTTTCTTTCAATTATCATGATTTGGCTCAATTTTACCACAACATCGGTTTGGTCTAAAGCATCATGGGTAACTATTCAGGAGCATTTTCATATATCGAATGGGTTCTAAAAATAGTAGAGAATTCGCTACCTGCAAATCATTGAAGTATTCAGGTATATAAAGATAACCCCGAACGTGTGCAAAAGAAAATGTACTTGAATTTTATTTTGTTCAAAGAAATGAATACAATCAACAAAAAAGAACAGTTTTTTGCTTCACTGTTGAAGAAATGCGTGTGATCTCATGTGTTCTGACAAACTACATTTTGTTGAGAACACAATGATACGATGCCCATCGGTAAGGTAACCAATAAATGCTCAAATGATGAACATGTATCATAAATGGAAGACGTTCACGGTATAATTTGTGTTTCAGTAAGGAGTGTTCCGATGTCTAATATATAGCTATCCAACAGAGTGAAAAAAAAGAATAGGGAGTAATGAAAGTTCTTAAATTCATGCATAGAATTATTCTTCCTATTTCGATGTAATTATAATTCACTACGTGAAAAAAACTAAAAAAGGAGAATGCTAATCTATTGAATGATTTGTATCTAGGTATTATTAAGTTACTGCTAGATTTGTAACAGGAAGAGTAATTCAACGAAACATACAAATAGGTTATCTCATTGTTGAGAGAGAAGAGTCACGGTCGAATATATTAAAAAAGATGGTTTTATATATGATTGGAGAAGATGAATTTGTTTTTTGAAAGAAATATTCATACCTAAACAATCGTTTATTCATATTTAGACGAAGATGTCTATCAATTAATTATTTTACATGAGAAACAAAACTAAAAAAAAAAGTAAGATAGCTAAGGAATGAAAACGAAAGGTGTTATTTCACTAATATTATTGACATGAAATGAATAATTCATGAACAAAGAATATGACTAGGATCATTCTAAATGATTTCAATTTCGTTGTTGTATGTGCTTGGTTTGTATAGTATTTGTTTGAGAAATAAAATAGGTTCGAATTCAAAAATTGATGTTCTTATCTATGCGACAATGTTCATCGTTGAGAAAGGTGTAAAAGAACAAGCATATTGATTCGACTGTTTTTTAATGCTCTATATCTTAGATCTTCGAAATTGTGTTTTGATTTCTTCTTTTGTCTTTGAAACTTCACTTTTTGAGTGGAAGCAAAATTTCCTCCGTATGGGTTATGTGGGTGGATGTACGTGTAGATGTGTGAGTTCGAGTGTCGATGAGAGTACACAAAAGATACGCAACTTTCGATGACACTCACATCCTTCATTTAATGTCAGTTGTGAATAGCTATATTAGATATTGAGATTTCTTGACGAAATTGTTGTCTTTTCAAACGTTCCATTCACATTTGTCATTATTCTATATAATTCCTATTCAGTCGATAATTTTTCACATACTGAAAACTTGCATATCTTCAATTTCATTCTTATCGCTAATACTTTTTTCTCATTTTTCTCTCTTGATATCCTATGTCTTTCAAAATATTTTGAATCTTTATTTTTTGTTTTACACTATGATTATATTAATTCAACACCAGTCTCTTGGTTCATTCAGTACAATAATTGTATGCAAAAAATCAAGCACTTATTTTCTTTTGAATAAACATCTTCAATATTAATCTAACTATTCATTATTATCTATTGGTAGGTCACTGATTAATTTTCATTTAACACCGGCCTAACAATTTTTGCAGGCCATCAATCATGTATTAATAGGACCAATTTCAATCAATTGTTGTCAAGTATCACTTGATAGTTTATTAACAGTTAAATCACCAATATCAAATTAAGAAATAAAACTAGAAAAGTAAACGAAGAAGAGTTTCATGTCACAACATTCATAACTCACAATTGATTCTTTATTAAGTTCATTTATTGTATAATGAACGTAATACAAAGTCCAACATGATGTAATATGAAAAATGTTTCATCAAGATTTATTGTTTTTGATTGTGAACGACTAGCTAAACCATAATTACTTCTATTCTCAATTGCTTTTCACATTAAATACAAGTATTTTAATATAAGATTTTGAATCATTGTTGCAGGATCATTGTACATACGATGAAGATTCTCACATATTTTAGTTGAACAACTAAATCAAGACTAATTTCATAATATAACTCAAACAATGACATCCAATACGAAAT